AGGGAGGCTGAAGAGGAGGAAAAGGAGGAAGCGGAGGAGGGAGGAGGAGGAGGAGGAGGAGGAGGAGGAGGAGGAGGAGGAGAAGGAGGAATAGAGGAGGAGAGGAGGAGGCAGGAGGAGGAGGAGGAGGGGAGGAGGAGGAGGAGGAGGGAGGAGGAGGAGGAGGGGGAGGAGGAGGAGGAGGAGGAGGAGGAGGAGGAGGAGGAGGAGGAGGAAGAGAGGAGGAGGAGGGGGAGAGGGGAGGAGGAGGAGGGAGGGAGGGAGGAGGGAGGAGGGAGGAGGGAGGAGGAGGAGGAGGAGGAGGAGGAGGAGGAGGAGGAGGCGGAGGAGGAGGAGAAGGAGGAGGAGGAGGATAAGGAGGGGGAGGGGGAGGAGGAGGAGAGAAGGAGAAGGAGGAGGAGGAGGAGGAGGAGGAGGAGGAGGAGCGAGGAGGAGCAGGAAGAGGAAGAGGAATAGGGAGGAGGAGGAGGAGGAGGAGGAGGAGGAGGAGGAGGAGGAGAAGGAGGAGGAGGAGGAGGAGGAGGAGAAAAAGGAGGAGGAGGAGGAGGAGGAGGAGGAGGAGGAGAGGGCGGATAGGGGGGAGGAGGGATACGGAGGGATACTGAGGGATAAGGAGGAGGAGGAGAAGGAGGAGGAGGAGGAGGAAGAGGAGGAGGAGGAGGCGGAGGAGGAGGAGGAGGAGGAAGAGGGGAGGGGGAAGGGGGGAGGAAGGGATGGAGGGATGGAGTGGGGAGGGGTAGGGAGGCGCGAGGGGGGGGGGGAGGGCGGAGGAGGAGGAGGAAGGAGGAGTGGAGGGGGGAGGAAAAAGAAGAGGAGGGGGAGGGGATTTTTCCTCCACCTCAACTAGTTCTGGACGATGGCCAGGGGAACGCGGGCCCGCTTACTGGGGCATGGGCTCGGCGGCCAGGCTGGCCTCATAAACCTGCGCCGCGAGGGGCCAATGGGCGACTATACGGTCCTCATTGCCGCACCTCGGGTGCTTCAGCTGCATAAACCGGCGCAGCTTATGCTGCGCCGCTTCATTCCGCTTCCAGCCCGCGACCCCGAAACTAGGACAAACCTTCCCGAGCCCCAAAGGTTTCGAGGCCGCATACTGGCAACACTTCTTGCGTAACAGTAGTGCGTCTCCGACCTCAGCCTCAGGGCGCGGGGTCAGTTCACACCATTCGATATCGTGCGTGTGGGCGTATTGGGCCACGCACTGGAAACTCGCGGGAGCCTCCTCAGGCCGGCAGTCTTTTTGATCGAGCGCACTGTTCGGGGCCACCTTAGACCGCAGACATCGCTTGCACTGCCGACGAGACGGGCCGACCTGGTGAAACTCGTGGGCAATCCTACACGCGGGCACCTTGTGCACTGGGGCCCGCCTGAAGGATTTCAATTTTTCTCGAGGTGCTGGTCCCGACTCGAGCGCGCGAGCTGCAGCATACAGAAACTGTTTAATCCGCGCCAGCTGATCTTCGAGCCAGACCGGGGTGGGGCCATGGACACCATGCAGACGCGACGCTTCTTTGGCCGCCTGGTCGGCCTGGTCGTTTAACCAAGCGCCCCATTCAGACGGGGTCGCGGGGCGCCCTGGAACCTCGACATGGGCATTCTGTTTGAGGAGCCAAGAAAAGGCCCCGTCCTGACGGGCCAGCCCCCTCCAAACACTAGCAAAACGCCCCCTCGGGGCCGCTCCTGAAACAACCCCCAGGCGGCCAATCGAGAGCACAGCATTACAGTCGCCTATGTAGCTACACGAGCCGTCACTGCGACGGGCGCCGGCCTCGAACGCGGCGCGTTCGGCCGCCGCGGCCGTCTGGGCCGACGCCGGGGGCGACGTCCCGAGGAACCGCAAGAGCTCACCCGTGGCCCGATCCCACTGCACCACCCCGAACCCCCCACGACGAAGCGACTCGAGAGGCGAAGTCGAAGCCAATCCATCTCCTGCCACGGGCTCGCTGGGGACAAACCGGAAGCTGGCAGGGGGGCCTCGACGTCTCCAGCAAAAACACGGGCGGCAGCAACGGGCGGAGCGGCTGCAGCCTGGGGGCGCCGGGGCAGCAACAGGGAGCTCAGTTGCTCATCCTCGTAAGCCCGACGCGCAGCCAGCGCCAGCTCCCAGCGTTCACCTTGCGCCGCACGGCCCGCCTCGTAGGTCTTGCACTCAAAGACACGGTGGGCAGGTGTATCGGGCTTGCCGCAGGCAGGACAAAGCGGCTGCACCAAGTAGCCCCAACTGTTCGCGAGGCTGCGCGTGAGGAAGGTCTCGCACGTGGTGCTGGTCAGGACGTGCTTGGTCAGGGCCGAACAGTAGCGGTTATCGAGGACCGAACGCAAAGCCCCCCACCAGACGCCGCTCTCGGCGGCGCCCGCCAGCCGCGTAGCCACGGCAGCATCCGCGCGTTCCTCGGTCAGCCTCAGCACGTCCTGGGCGAAGAAGCGGCCCACCTCTTTCGGCCCATGTCGCAGGACCGACACCTCGCCGACGCTCGGCGACAGGAAGGACGTCGCGCGCAGCGCCTCCCAGCCCGCCAATTTGAGGGCGCGCAGCATGGCACCGACAGGGCCTGCCTCGGGCAGCTGCTGGCAGAGGTCACTCTTGGCGCAGTGGAAAGCCGCGCGCAGCTCCTTGGGCGAGAGCACGCGCCCGCTGGCATGGCGGCTGTCCGTCGCCCGCCACCACTCCTCGGCATACCTCAAGACGCCCATGGCGGCAAGGTCGCCCAGCGGGTCCAACTTGGGCTGGAATGCGCCGAAGATGTCGGGGCAGGCGTGCGGGTGGCCATAGTGGGCCTTCCCGCGCGCCCGCAGCTCCTGCATATCGAGGTCGGTGAAACCAGTGACCTCGCCAACCCCACTTCGCCGCCGGCAGGGCCGCGGTGTGCCAGATCCTGCGGCAGCCCGCGACCTGCGCCACCGCCCGCAGCGCCTTGCGCACCCGCGCCTTGCCCAGGCGCACGCGCGCGCGGCGCACGGGCCCCGCGCAATGCACAACGCCGGCATCGCAGGCGCGACGGGCAGCGCGCCTCGGCCGCGCGCGCCGCCCCGCGCGGAAGTCCACGCCGAGGCGGCGCATGGAACTCCCGCCAAACGCCCGCAGGGCGCGCCGCACCTTGAGCGGGCGCGGGGGGAGGCCCAGGCTCCGCAGCGAGTCCTGCGCCAGCTCGGTGACGGCCGCGCTGTTGCCCAAGATGGTGCCCTTGGCCACGGCCAGCTTCATGTCCAAGTCCTGCTCGACTGCCGCCTTGAGGCCCCGCGCGCTGCTGGCGAGCCGGTCGACCGCAAGCTGGGCCGTCTCGGCCGACACCTCCTGGCCGATATCGTCAATGTGCACAGTGAGTAAGACCTCGGGATGCCGCTGCTGCTGCTGCGCTTTGAGGTCGGTGATCAGGTAGGCGGCCAGCGCGTAGGTCGCAGCAGAGCATCCCGCCACAATCCCGTTGTCGGGGAGGGCGCCGTCAGCCACCATGCCGTCCATGACCGCAAATCTGGGCCAGCGGAAGGCGTTGACCACAACCCTCAGACTCGCCGCGGGGATATGCACGCTCCGAGCGAGCGCGATGAGCTTGCCGTGGTTGACCTTCTCAAAGGCCTTGGCAAGATCCCAGAGGAGGACCAGGAAGGACCGCTGGAGGCCCTCCGACGTCTCGCCACGAACCGCCGACCTCCACACACAGTCGGTGACCTTCCTGCCCTCGCCATTGTTGAGGATGCCCCAATCGTCGAGCCCTCGCCGCCAGGAGCGCAGGTGGTGCCGCTGGCACTTGCCCCAGACGCGGCAAAGGGCCTTGAACTGCCCGATGGGCCGCCTCCCGCCGCCAAGCGGCTTCGGGTGCTGGGCCGAGAGGAGCTCCTGCTCGCAGGACGGCATCAGGCCCGTCGTCGTGACCAGGTTGAGGAGGCCAGCCGTGGCATCGGGATCGTGGAACCACCCCAGATGACGAGGGTGCGTCTCAGCAGGCGCGCAGGTGCCCGCCTTGAACTTGCCGGCTACCTTGCTGACGTCCTCGGCGGAGACGTGAAGCCGACTGCTGTCCAGGCCCTCATCCACCACCATGGCATCCAGCGCCGCCTGGACATCGCCCAGCCTCTCGCCAGCAGCCTGCGCAGTGAGCTCATTCCAATGGCCAGCCCACTCCTGCCGATATTGTGTCAAGAGCTGGGCAGGGTCGGCGGCCCTATCGTGCACGGGCCCCGTCTTGGCGGTGAGCTCGGGCGCCGCGTCCCCAGGGCCCATGGGCCAGCGACGCAGCATGGGCGCCCCCTTGGCCAAGTCGGCCCGGGGCGCTTCCCGCCACGAGGCGCCAGCGCGGCGCACGCCCATCAGGTACTCCCTGCAGAGCCTGCTCGCCGTGATCGCAAGCAGCTTAACCACCCCGAAGTAGGTGGCGCCTGTGGCCTGCAGCTCCTCGTGCGGGGCCGCACCGCCATCATCTTGATCCCAAAGTGGGGGCTCGTAGTCCAGCGGCGGACAATCGAACTCCTGGTCGAGCGCCCTCTTCGGGTCGTCGAACGGGTCGCGCTCGCCGTCCAGGTTAGTGGGCACGCCCTGTCCAGCGGCTACAGCATCATCGACCTCGTCATGAGCCCTCGGCGAGGCCCCTGCGCCTCCTGAAGCCCCTCGGCGACGCCCGGGCGGGCCCCCGGCGGGGGCCGGGAGCGTTCGCAGACGCTGTTTTTTTGGGCCGCGCGAGAAAACGGTCCGCGCCAGGCCCCCCGGCCCCCCGCCTGGCGGCTTCGGCGACCTCCCCGGCGGCGGCGGCAGCGCGGCCGCGGCGGCGGTGGGCGCCCCGGCGGCGCCCGGGCGGGCCCCCGGCGGGGGCTGGGAGCGGCCGCAGACATAGTTTTTTGGGCCGGGCGAAAAAACGGTCCGCGCTGAGGGCCCCCCGGCCCCCCGCCCGGCGGCGTCGGCGACCTTCCCTTCGGCGGCGCAGGCGGCGGCCTGGCGCCCTCAGAAGCCCTCGGCCCCCGACTCGACCCGCGCTCCACGCCCAGCGGCTCGTCGACACCAGGACCTGCGCGGGGAGGCCGACGGGCGGCCACAGCGGCGGCCCCAGCGCCCCGGGCGGCCTCGGCGGCGGCCCCAGCGGCGGCTGCATGGACGAAATCGCCCTCGCAGGGATGCCGTCGGGCGGGCCCAGCGCCGCGGGCGGCCTCGGTGGCGGCTGCGTGGACGAAATCGCCCGTGCAGGGCGGCCCCCGGGCGGCCTCGGCGGCGGCTCCAGCGGTGGCTGCATGGGCGAAATCGCCCACGCAGGGAAGCCGACGGGCGGCCACAGCGGCGGCCCCAGCGCCCCGGGCGGCCTCGGCGGCGCCCCCAGCGGCGGCTACATGGCGGCCCCAGCGCCCCGGGCGGCCTCGGCGGCGGCCCCAGCGGCGGCTGCAGATTCTGCCAGAGCCCCCAGCACAACGATGAGCTCAGCACGGTCAAAAAGCCCCGGTGTAGAGCTGAGCCACCCAGACATCTCGCCACGGACGACCATGCAGAAGTGACGCAGCAACGCCTCCCACTCTGGCCAATCCGGCTGGCGGTGGCAATGGTGGTGGAACCGCCCGCCTGGCTCCAGCGCGCCCCCCAGGCGGCGGAGGGCCTCGCGCAAGGGCCCGAGCTGGGCACGGCCCCCGCAGAGCACGTCGCCGAGAAGCTCAGCGGCCTGCCCCAGCTGGCCAGCCAGCCAGCGCATCCCCGAACTGGCCCTGGATCTCGGATTCTTGGGCGTAGCCAGCACCTTGCACAGCGGCTGCTCTTCGAAGGCGAGCTGCCCTCCCCAGTGGCTCAGCTGGGCTGCACTGGCGTCGACGATGCCGCCGAAATCCTGGCGCGCCGTCCGCGGCCAGGACGCATGGGCCTGGTTAACCGGCTCCTGCCGCGCGCGGACGCTGAGGCCCCCGCGGCTGGCCTCCGCGAGTGCCTCCCGCACAGCGGCGTTGGCACCCTCCCAATCAGGTGGCTGCACGCGCGGCCCCACAGGTCGAGACGCGGGCAGCGGCGGCGGCTGCTTGGCCACGCGCGCGGTCGGCCAGTCGCCCGCGCCCTGGATCGCCAGCTCGACGAAGTCGTGGGTCGGGACCAAATGCTCGGGATGGACCCGCGGGCCCCGGCAGGCGAAGCCAACCCGCCCACCCGAGACGAAGAAGTCCCGCACGTGATGGGTGCCCTGCCCCCCGTGGCAGGTGGCCTCAGCAGTGGCGTGCGCGCGCGCCTGGCTCGTCGAAACCTGCGAATCCGGCGACAACCTCGGGGTCGAGGTTCCAGTCGCCGCCCGCAATCCACGGGAGGTGGTGGCCCTTGGCGCGGTGCTCGAGGGTCCGCAGCGCGGCGAGGTTGCCGCTCAGCCCCACGCCGGTCTCGAGGTGCACGCTGTACAGAGCGAGCGCGCCCAGCGGCGGCAGCCGCGCGAAAGCGACCGAGATGCGCCCATCCACCGCGGAACACTCCAGCGGGCCCCACCATAAGTCCAGGTGTCGTTTAGCGATGATGCCGACCCCCCCGCTGCGCATGGTCTCCTTGATCACAGCCTCGTCTGCAGCAAAGCGCCATCCCCGCACGCGCGCACTCTTCTGGGCTTCTCGAAGCCGCTCCCTTCGAAGCTTGTGCTCTTGGACGAAGATGACAGAGAACGGTGAGTCGTGAATGCCTTCGAGCACCAGCGTGCCTGCCCCCCTGGACGTGACATTCACTGTAGCAACCCTGAAGGAAGCAGGCTCTGTCCCCTGCGGACTCAGCGAGCGCTCGAGCCCTTTCACTTGCGAGCCTCCCTCCTCGTCAGGAGTTGGGGGGCAGGCGTCCGCATCTCGTGCTCTGGCCTGCCCCCGCCGTCGGTTAGGAACGCCTTGGGCGCTTGGCCATGTTGAGCCCCCGCATGGCTGCTGCAAGGGCGCGCTTGGCATCGGGCTGCTGGGCAGCAGCAGTGATGATACTGTCTGCCGTGGTCTGGTCGAAGGCCTCGGGCATGGGCTCGTCCTCTGCGGAGGCTGCCCCATCACCTCCAGCGGGAGGCACATGAGCAGCAGCAGGTGGAGCAGCTTTGGCCATGGCTCTGCCCAAAAGCGTGACCAGAATCTTGCCGGCCCCTGCTCCAACCTGTTGGCCGAGCGGGTCGGGCGCCAGCAGCTCTTCGACGAGGCGCCGCTGCTCCGCGGCGTCCAGCTGGGAACAAAATGCTTGAGAGAGTCCCGCGCCCGCTCCGCCGTGTGCGGGACCAGCGCCACGGGCGACTTTGAGCACAGCGGCCTGTACCTCGCGCTCCGCGGTCTCGATCGCCCCCCTGGTGTTTTGCGTGTCCTTCTCGTGGGCAACCTGGTCGGCGAGGCACTGATCCAGCGCAGCGCGCGCGTCGTCGACCGCCTGCTGCTTGGCGCTCTTGGCCTTCTCGAGGCGCTCGAGCTTGCCCCGCAGGCGCGTGAGCTTCCCGTTGAGGACGATGACATGGTTCTGCGGCGTCTTGGCCTCCAGGCGCTGCGCTCGCAGCGAAGCCAACTGCGCCTCCGCATCCACCAGGAGCTGCCCCGAGAGCTTGGCCCGCTTGAGCCCCGCGACCGTGCTCTCCAAGGCCTCGATCTGGTCCAGGAGCGGGTCGTCGCCCGACTCGGCAGGTGGCGGCTGCGGCGGGCCAGCACCAGGAGGGTCGCGCTGCTGCTTGAGCGCCCCCACCTCCTTGGCCAGCACCTCCTTGACCATCCTCGCGATCGAGGCCTGGAACTCCTTGCTCTCGGAACCGCC